TGTGTGTGTGGGGGGGGGTGATTGTGTGTGTCTCAAAGGCCAGGGTGTGTGTGTGGGGGGGTGATTGTGTCTCAAAGGCCTGTGTGTGTGTGTCTTGACAGTGTGTGTGTGTTTGTGGGTGATTGTGTGCGTCTCGAAGGCCAGTGTGTGTGTGTGTTTTGACAGTGTGAGTGTGTGTGTGTGACTCAAAAGACAGTGTGTGTGTCGACAGTGTGTCTGTCTAAGTACAGTGTGATTGTGTATGTGTGTGTTTTGTGTTCGGGGGCGAGAGATAGTGTGCGCGTCTGTGACTGTGTGGCCTCCCACTGCCGGGCTGTGATTTTTGTCTCTCTCCAGTGTGTTGTGTGTGGTTGTGTTTCTCTTCGACTCGCATGTGACTCCTGTGTGTTGTGAGTTTGTCCGTCTCTAGTGTGTGATTTTTGTGTCCAATGAGACAGTGCGGGGAAGGTGCGTGTGTGACTTTCTCTTGCCGGTGTCTCTGGTGTGTGGTTGTGCGTCTCTCTCTGCCGTGTCCTTGTGTGTCCCCCAGCGTGTGCGTAGGGCGCAGAGTGGAGTGTTTTGTTGTGGGTAGCCGTTACAAGACGGTTGTACCCAGCATGTTAACATGGTGTTTGTGTGTGTGCGCGCGGGTTGGGGGGGCTGGAAATGTGCCATGTCCCCGCCCCCCCCCCCCACACGTGAAGGAGGGAATCCCAGAGCTATTAACCCTTGGGGGGCCAGGGACTTCCCGACTGCTGCCCCCCCCCCAGCCCCATGCTTCCCAGTGCTGGGCATGTGTGTCACTGTGTGATGGGGGGGTCTGCCCGTGTGTGTGTGTCACTGTGGGGGGGGTCAGCTCGTGTGTGTCACTGTGTGTGTGTGTCACTGTGGGGGGGGTCAGCTCGTGTGTGTCACTGTGTGTGTGTGTCATGGTGGGGGGGTCTGCCTGTGTGTGTGTGTGTCCCTGTGTGGGTCTGCCGCTGTGTGTGGGTCTGCCCGTGTTTGTGACAGTGATTGTGTGTCACTGTGTTTGTGCGGATCTGCCCTTATGTGTCATTGTGTGTGCGGGTCTGCCCGTGTGTGTGTGTGACAGTAATTGTGTTTGTGTCTGTGTGTCACTGTGTGCGTGCGTCTGCCCATGTGTGTGACAGGGATTGTGTGTCACCGTGTTTGTGTCAGTGTGTGGGTCTGCCCATGTGTGCAGGTCAGCCCTTGTGTATGACAGTGATTGTGTGTGTATATCACTGTGTGTGTGTGTGACTGTGGGAGGGGTCTGCCCGTGTGTCACTTTGCCCCATGTGTATGGCTCTGCCTACATATGGCTCACTCTGTGAGTGTGAGACAAAGTTTGTGTGTGTGGGTCACGGGGCGTGTGAGTCTGCCTGTGTGTGTGTGTGAAATGCTGTGTCTCTGCCTGTCTGTGTCACTGTGTCTGTGTGTCACCGTGTCGGGGGCCTGTCCTTGTGTGTGTGTAACAGTGTTTCTGTGGGGCTGCGGGGGGGTGTCTGTGTGTGTGACCCTGTGTGTGTCTAGGTCGCCGAGTGACACTATCCGTCACCGTGTGACACCTTCCGGTATTGTGTGCGGTGCTGTGTGTCTCTCTCTCTCTCATGGTGCCCGGTTACCGTGGGATGCTGCGTGTGTGTGATGCCGGGTGTGTGTCTCTCTCTGTCGCCGGTTGTGTGACGCCGGGGGTGGGGGGTGCGGGTCTGGGGCGGTTTTGCTCCCTGCGCACGTGGGTTTCCAGGCGGCTGACTCAGCGCGGACGTGACTCTGACCCCCGAGGGGGTGGGGGTTCCCCGCTGTCTGTCGTCAGTGAATCTTCCCCCGTTCCCCGGGGGGGTTCTCAGGCCCAGCCGGGCTGGATCCCCCCACCCCCGGGGGGCCAGGCTCGGCTTTCACTATTAAAGCCACGCAGCCGGATTCACGGCAGCCGTGCGAGGGGATGCACGGGGGAGGGGGGCTGGGTGCCCGGAGTGCAGGGGGGACAGCTCGGAGCATGTGGGGGGGGGCAGGTTTGGATCGTGGGGCCCCCCTTGGGGATGCATGGGGAGGGGCTGGTCGGGGAGGGGGGTGTACACCCAGCTGTGTGCGTTCACATGGGCGTTCCTTTCGGTGCACGCATGCGTGTCTGGCTCCATGCGTGCGAAGGTCTCCGTGCGGGGAGGGAACCCCCCACCCCAGCACTCCCCCACCTCTGACACATAGAAGGAGGCGGAGCCAATACAGGCCCCTCCCCCTAGTGCTGCCAGGCCCCACTGCCCCGCCCCATGCGCGCACACGCGGATCAGCCCCTTGGGGTCCCCCTCCTCCTAGTGCCCCGTTTCCCCTTGCACGGCACTGCGGCCACACGCGCACCTTTGCCCACGTTCACTCCCCCTTCACTCACACTCGGCTACGCACACTCTCGCTGACACACGCAAGGCTCAGCACGTTTGCACACCCACACCCGGACAGATGTGCGGCCCCGCTGGCTTGTGCATGCTTCTGCTTACGCCCCGGTGCGCTGGCCACACACGCGCTTGGTCACTCACACCTACCGGTGCCCCTCATGTGCACGGGTGTGTGCACACGCGCCCTGACAGCTGCATTGGCCCACACATTCTTATATGCACCTGCCCACCCAATAACTGACGTCTGCACCCATCACCTGGTCTCGCACACTTGGCAAGACCCACTGACACGCACAATCAGTTGTGCATGCACATTTGCACATGCGTTCTTTCAGCTGCACCGACATACCCGTGCCACTGTCCTCCCATGCAGGGTCACTTTTGCCCAGGGGTGCACGGTCACGGTGGCACACTCATTTGCACGGCCCGTGCTGTCGGCAGCCGGTTTGCATGCATGTTTCGCTTTGGCACGCTCATGCCCGCGTGCGTGGCCTCAGCTGCCTGTTTGCACATTCCCCTCTCACAACCATCTGCTCTTGCACACTCATTTGTGCATGCTCTCGCATGCCAGTGTATCACTACCCCCCCTGCCCCCCGCCAGGCCCGCGTGAGTCAGGGCGGCTGCTTCCCTTTTCTAGTAAAGGCAGAACCGAGACAGGAACCCGGGGCCGCTTCGGAGAATGTAGCCGTGAAGGGGAAGGAAGAGGGTCATTTCCCAGCCCCACCCCCGGGAACTCCCCCGGCAACTGGCAATGGGGCAGGGTGGGCACTGTCATCTCTAGGGGGCGCCCATCCAGCCCCATGGCTTGGGGGGGGCAGGCAGTGGGCCACGGGGAGGTGCCGTCGTCCTTCCTGGCAGCCACCGGCAGGCCCGGCTCGGCTTCCCGGCCTGCGTGGGCGGGGCGGAGATTCCCTCCGTCAGGCGCGGCGGGGAGGGGGCGGGGCGGCCCGGCTGACTCCGCCCACGCCCGGAGCCGCCGCCGCCAGGGCTCACAGGGAGCCCGGCCGGTCACTAGTGCCACGCCCCAGAGCGAGAGGGTGGGGGGGCCTGCTGCCACCTACTGGTGTGTCTGTGTGTGTGTGTGTGTGTGTGTGTGTGTGTTCACACAGCGCTGCCCCCTGCTGGTGTGTGTGTGTGTGTCCAGCTGTTTGCACAGAAAGTGGTTTCCTGTGGGCCCATCTTCCCCCCCCCCCCGCCGCTGCCTTGGCTCCCCCGTTCACACCCTCACCCCCCGTCGTGCCCCCCAGGTCTGGCAGCCCACGGCCGGCGGGATGGGATGTGAATAAACCGTCACGGGGGGGGGGGGGGAGCAAGAGCGTCTGACACGGGCGTCGTGCCGCACAATCCCCCTGCACACTTCCTCTCACACACGCGTCATGGGCCAGCCCCGAAATTCCCACAGCACAGGATGGGCCATGACGACAACAGGCCGGGGGGGGGGGGTGGGAGCGCGTGTGAATGTGCCGAGTGCGTGTGCCCAGCTGGGCTCGGAGCGATCACATGTGTAAACGGGCAGCTCACAAGCGTGCCGCCGTGCACAAGGAGCTCACGCATGTGCGTGTGAAAGTGAGAGGCAGAGTCAGGGGGCCTCGAGTGCATGGCATGGTCCCGGCACACGTGTCACCGGCGTGTCTACGTGTCCTCAGCACTGGTTGGCGTGTCTGTGTTGTTGGCGTGTTGTTGGCGTGTCCACATGTGACAGGCAGGGCCGTGCATCATTGATACATGCGGTTGGCATGCTGGAGCGTGGTGGGTGCCTCCGTGTGCCATGGGTGTCGCATGTCACTGGCGTGTGCCGGGTGCCAGCTGGTGCCCCAGGGCCTCCCCTGGGAGCGTACGTTGCCCCCCCCTTCCTGCCCCCCCCAACCGTGTGCGTCACCCGCCACCAACATGCCCCACGTCTGTCACCCACCGCCCCCTTGCCCCGCTCCGGTGGAACCAGATGGGGCCAGGGGGGCGGGAAGGGGTCGTCTGGGCGGCATCCGTCTGGTGGGACAGGGCCGGGGTGAGTCACGGAGCCAGGGGAGGGGCAGAGCCGGGGCCGCAGCTCCCCCCCCCCACCTCCCACCTGCTGCACGGGGGTGGGGCTAGGGGTGGCGCCCATGTATGGGTCGTTTGCTGCACTTGTCACCCTGTGACATCTCCTCCGCCCCCGTGTGCCGGCCCCACGGCCCCCTGCTGCCCCTAGGCCCTGCCCACGGCCCTCCCCCCACTGCTCCTCAGTCCCGCCTCATGGCCCCCCGCTGCCCCTCAGCCCGGCCCCACGGCCCCCTGCTGCCTCTAGGCCCTGCCCACGGCCCTCACCCCACTGCTCCTCAGCCCTACCCATGGCCCCCCCACTGCTCCTCAGCCTGACCCCACGGCCCCCCCACTGCCCTTCAGTCCCTCCCCACGGCCCCTGCTGCCCCTCAGTCCCACCACACAGCCCCCCCACTGCTCCTCAGTCCCGCCCCAGGGCTCTCCCCAGCTGTTCCTCCTGGTTTGCCCCCCTGAAGCGCCCCCACCTTGGCATCTCAGCAGACTCACCTCATTGGTTGCGTCTTGCTCCGCCCCCGATTCCCATTGGCTCTCCCGGTCCTTGACCCCGCCCCACAGTGACTGTCTGGCGTCCCATTGGTCTCTTGCAGGCTGCGTTAGGGGACGGATGGGGACGATGATTGGCGGCCAGAGGAGGGGTGCCGCGTGATTGGCCGGTTCCTGGAGAGAGTCGCGCAAGAGGTGGGCGGTGGGGGGAGGGGTGGGGTGGAAGGGGTTAACCCCGGCCCTGGGGGCGGAGCCAGGAGCAAAGCTGCCCCTCCCCCACAGACATTGGGTCTCAGTTGGGCTGCCCTGACCCCCATGAACCCCATCCCGGCCTGGACCCCCCCCATTAACCCTCTCCTGGACCCACTCCCCCCCATGAATCCCCATCCCAACCTGGACCCCCCCATTAACCCTCTCCTGGACCCACTCCCCTCCCCATGAACCCCATCCCAACCTGGACCCCCCCATTAACCCTCTCCTGGACCCACTCCTCCCCCCCCATTAACCCCATCCCAGCCTGGACCCCCCCATTAACCCTCTCCTGGACCCACTCCCCCCATAACCCCACCCACTTAACCCCCTTAACCCTCGCCTGGACCCCTCCCCCCTCCTCCCCCCCATTAACCCTCTCCTGGACCCACTCCCCCCCATGAACCCCATCCCAACCTGGACCCCTCCATTAACCCTCTCCTGGACCCACTCCCCCCCCCATGAACCCCATCCCGGCCTGGACCCCTCCATTAACCCTCTCCTGGACCCACTCCTCCCCCCCCATGAACCCCATCCCGACCTGGACCCCCCCCCATTAACCCTCTCCTGGACCCACTCCTCCCCCCCCCCCATGAACCCCATCCCGGCCTGGACCCCCCCATTAACCCTCTCCTGGACCCACTCCCCCCCATGAACCCCATCCCGGCCTGGACCCCCCCATTAACCCTCTCCTGGACCCACTCCTCCCCCCATGAACCCCATCCCGACCTGGACCCCCCCATGAACCCCATCCCGACCTGGACCCCCCCATTAACCCTCTCCTGGACCCACTCCCCCCATTAACCCCATCCTGGCATGGACCCCCCCATTAACCCTCTCCTGGACCCACTCCCCCCATGAACCCCATCCCAGCCTGGTCCCCCCATTAACCCTCTCCTGGACCCACTCCCCCCATGAACCGCATCCCAGCCTGACCCCCCCATTAACCCTCTCCTGGACCCACTCCTCCCCCCCATGAACCCCATCCCGACCTGGACCCCCCATGAACCCCATCCCGACCTGGACCCCCCCATTAACCCTCTCCTGGACCCACTCCCCCCATTAACCCCATCCTGGCATGGACCCCCCATTAACCCTCTCCTGGACCCACTCCCCCCATGAACCCCATCCCAGCCTGGTCCCCCCATTAACCCTCTCCTGGACCCACTCCCCCCATGAACCGCATCCCAGCCTGGACCCCCCCATTAACCCTCTCCTGGACCCACTCCTCCCCCCCATGAACCCCATCCCAGCCCGGACCCCCCCATTAACTCTCTCCTGGCCTGGACCCGCTCCCTCCCCCACACACATTAACCCCAGCCTGGCCTCGATCCACGCCATTCCCCCCAAGAGCAGTTTTGGGGAGGGGGCCCAAACCTTTAGCTCTGTAGTTGGGAGAGGAGTTGGGGCAGCAGGGAGGGGTCTGTACAGGGGAGTCCTCTCCAGGCAGTCCACCCCACCCTCCAAACACAGCCCCCCCCAAGCCATATCTGCCCCCACCCCTTTCCCCCCAAGCTCATCCAACTCACTCCCCTCCCGCTGAGGTGATTCTACCCCCTCCCCTCCCCCCCTTCCCCTCTCCCCTCCCCCCTGAGGTGATTCTACCCCCTCCCGCTCCCCTCACCCCTTCCCGCCTCCCCCTTCCCCCCTCCCCTTCCCCCTTCTTCACCTCCCCCCTTAGGAAATTCTACCCCCTCCCCCTTCCCCCCTTCCCCTGAGGTAATTCTACCCCTTCCCCCTCCCCCCCCCATGAGGTGATTCTACCCCCCTCCCCTCCCCTTTTCCCCCTCCCCCAGGAGGATTCTACCCCCCCTCCCTCCCCCTCCCCCCTCCCCTCCCCCTTCCCCCCCCCCCTGAGGTGATTCTACCCCCCCCCCCCCCCCTCCCCTCCCCCTGAGGGATTCTACCCCCTCCCCTCCCCCTCCCCCCTCCCCCTGAGGTGATTCTACCCCCCTCCCCTCACCCCTCCCCCTGAGGTGATTCTACCCCCTCCCCCTCACCTCCCCCCTTCCCCCCTCCCCCTGAGGTGATTCTACCCCCTCCCCTCCCCCTTCCCTCCCCCTGAGGTGATTCTACCCCCTCCCCTCCCCTTTCCCCCCCCCCATGAGGTGATTCTACCCCCTCCCCTCCCCTTTTCCCCCTCCCCCATGAGGTGATTCTACCCCCTCCCCTCACCTCCCCCTGAGGTGATTCTACCCCCCTCCCCCTCACCTCCCCCTTCCCCCCTCCCCCCTGAGGTGATTCTACCCCCTCCCCTCCCCCTCCTCTCCTCCTGAGGTGATTCTACCCCCTCCCCTCCCCTTTCCCCCCTCCCCCCATGAGGTGATTCTACCCCCTCCCCTCCCCCTTCCCCCTCCACCTGAGGTGATTCTACCCCCTCCCCCTTCTCCCCTCCCCCTGAGGTGATTCTACCCCCTCCCCTCCCCTTTCCCCCTCCCCCTGAGGTGATTCTACCCCCTCCCCTCCCCCTCCCCCTCCTCCTGAGGTGATTCTACCCCCTCCCCCCCTTTCCCCCTCCCCCATGAGGTGATTCTACCCCCTCCCCTCCCCCTTCCCCCCTCCACCTGAGGTGATTCTACCCCCTCCCCCTTCTCCCCTCCCCCTGAGGTGATTCTCCCCCTCCCCCTTCCCCCTCCCCCGGCCCCCCCCCCCCCCCCCCCCCCCGGGTTCTCCCCCCCCCTCCCCCCCCCCCCCGGGTTCCCCCCCTCCCCCCCCCTTTCCCCCCCCCCGGGTCCCCCCTCCCCCCCCCCCCCCGGCCTCCCCCCCCCCTCCCCCCCCCCCCCCCCCCCCGGCCCCCCTCCCCCCCTCCCTCCCCGAGGTGATTCTACCCCCTCCCCTCCCCTTTCCCCCTCCCCCATGAGGTGATTCTACCCCCTCCCCTCCCCCTTCCCCCCTCCACCTGAGGTGATTCTACCCCCTCCCCCTTCCCCCTCCCCCTGAGGTGATTCTACCCCCCTCCCCTCCCCCTTCCCTCCCCCCTGAGGTGATTCTACCCCCTCCCCGGAGCTGGCTCTGCCCCCATGGCTGACCCCCACTCTCCCCACAGTGGTGTATGAGGCTGTGAGGACTCCCCACGGCACCGGGGGAGTCTCAGCCAGGAGGAGCCGCGGGGGCCACCCGTCGCTCGCACCCCCGGGGGGGCGGAGGGGGGGACAGAGGCATCCAGCGCAGCAGAAGTGGTGAGGCCCAGGGAGGGGGAGGCAGGTGGGGGAGGGGATGTCGGGGGAGGAGGGACGGGGAGGGGAAGTCAGGGCAAGGGGGAGGGGAGGTCGGGGAGGGGAAGTCGGGGCAAGAGGGAGGAGGGACGGGGAGGGGATGTCGGGGGAGGGGAGTGGGCGAGGGAGGAGGGGGGAGGGAGGTCGGGAGGGGATGGGGGAGGGAGGAGGGAGGGGAGGGGAGGTGGGGGGAGGGTGGGGGAGGGAGGAGGGACGGGGAGGGGATGTCGGGGGAGGGGAAGTCGGGGCTGGCGGGAGGAGGGACGGGGAGGGGAGGTCGGGGAGGGGATGTCGGGGCTGGCGGGAGGGAGGGACGGGGAGGGGAGGTCAGGGGAGGGGAAGTCGGGGCAAGAGGGAGGAGGGACGGGGAGGGGATGTGGGGGAGGGGGTGGGAGAGGGAGGAGGGAGGGAGGGAGGTGGGGAGGGGGTAGGCGAGGGAGGAGGGAGGGGAGGAGAGGTGGGGAGGGGGTGGGGAGAGGGAGGAGGGAGGGGAGGGGATGTGGGGGAGGGGAGTGGGGCAGAGGGAGGAGGGAGGGGAGGGGATGTGGGGGAGGGGAGTGGGTGGCGGGAGGAGGGAGGGGGGGGGGGGGAGGGTGGCGAGGGGGGGGGGGAGGGAGGTGGCAGAGGGAGGAGGGGGGGAGGGGAGGTGGGGGAGGGGTGGGGCAGAGGGAGGAGGGACGGGGAGGGGATGTGGGGAGGGGAGTGGGGCGGGAGGAGGGGGGGGGGGGGTGGGGGGGGATGTGGTGGCGGGAGGAGGGGGGGGGGGGGTGGGGGGGTGGGGGGGGGGGGGGGGAGGGGATGTCGGGGGAGGGGAAGTCGGGGCTGGCGGGAGGAGGGACGGGGAGGGGAGGTCGGGGAGGGGATGTCGGGGCTGGCGGGAGGAGGGACGGGGAGGGGAGGTCGGGGAGGGGATGTCGGGGCTGGCGGGAGGAGGGACGGGGAGGGGAGGTCGGGGAGGGGAAGTCGGGGCAAGAGGGAGGAGGGACGGGGAGGGGATGTCGGGGGAGGGGAAGTCGGGGCAAGAGGGAGGAGGGACGGGGAGGGGATGTCGGGGGAGGGGAAGTCGGGGCTGGCGGGAGGAGGGACGGGGAGGGGATGTCGGGGCTGGCGGGAGGAGGGACGGGGAGGGGATGTCGGGGGAGGGGATGTTGGGGCCGGAGGGAAGGGGGGGGTGTCGCCGGGAGGGGATGTCGGGGGATGTGAGTGGGGCAGGTGGCAGGAGGCTTTGGGGAGGGGATATCGGGGATGGGGGAGGGACGGGGGGGATGGTGGTGTTGGGGGGTCAGGGGGCACTGGACAGGTGCCCTGCCCCATATCCCCGCCCTGTCCCCTGTTGGGGGGTGGGCGGACCCTGGGGGGCACCGTCTAACCCGCCCCCCGTCTCCGGCAGGCTGGATGCATCGCACCGTGGAACAGCTGGGGGGCCGGGCCGGACGGGATCCCTTCGCTCTCAGCAGCCTGACCTGCAGCGGGGCCTGGAACCCCTGCCACCCCCGCCCATGGCTCCCGGGCAGCAGGTGAGTCCGCGGGACCCCGCCCGCCCTGGGGGGCGCCCCGACCACCAGCGGGGCAGAGACCCAGCAAACTCATGGCATGGGGGGTGGCACTGAAGTGGCTGGAACTGGCGCCCCCTAGCGGGGACAGGCCCCTGCCCCATTCCCCGCCCCCCTGGGCCAGCCAGTCCCCGCCCTGGGGCCGGGTGGGAGCCGGCGCCCCCGAGAGGGGGCAGGCCCCGGGCCCCAAACCTCCGCCTTCCCCCTCGCTCTGTCTCACCGTCTCCTCCTTCCGTGTCCCCCAGGTGCTCTGCCAGCATCGGACAGTCCCAGCTGCCCCCACATCTCCCGTCACCTCATGGCACTAACATCGGGCACCCCAACAAACCCTATTTCAACTCTGGGTAAGTGTTGCTGCTCCGGATCTCCGGACGTAGGGCGGGGGAAGCCCCGCCCGGAGCCGGGGAGAGAACCCAGGCGTCCTGGCTCCCCGCCCACCCCCGCTCTAACCACCAGCCCCCACTCCCCTCCCAGAGCCGGGGAGAGAACCCAGGCGTCCTGGCTCCCAGCCCCCTCCTGCTCTAACCGCCAGACCCCGCTCCCCTCCCAGAGCCGGGGAGAGAACCCAGGCTTCCTGGCTCCCCGCCCACCCCCGCTCTAACCACCAGCCCCCACTCCCCTCCCAGAGCCGGGGAGAGAACCCAGGCGTCCTGGCTCCCAGCCCCCTCCTGCTCTAACCGCTAGACCCCACTCCCCTCCCAGAGCTGGGGAGAGAACCCAGGCATCCTGGCTCCCAGCCCCCTCCTGCTCTAACCGCTAGACCCCACTCCCTTCCCAGAGCTGGGGAGAGAACCCAGGCGTCCTGGCTCCCAGCCCCCTCCTGCTCTAACTGCCAGACCCCACTCCCCTCCCAGAGCCGGGGAGAGAACCCAGGCGTCCTGGCTCCCAGCCCCCTCCTGCTCTAACCGCTAGACCCCACTCCCCTCCCAGAGCTGGGGAGAGAACCCAGGCGTCCTGGCTCCCAGCAGCCCCCGCTCCCCTCCCAGAGCCAGGGAGAGAACCCAGGTGTCCTGCCCCGCCCCCCGCGCGCCTGACAGGGTCCCTGCCGCCCCGGCAGGAGCTCCGCCCCGCGGCCCCTGCATGGGAAGCTGGAGGCCATCCACGGCTGCGTCCAGGCCCTGCTGCGGGACCCGGTGCAGCCGCCGCTGTGGGAGCAGCTGGGGCAGATCTACGAGTCGGAGCAGGAGTGGGAGGAGGCCGTGCGGTGCTACCAGACCGCGGCCCGCTACCAGCGCGACTATGGCAACTACAGCGAGATCAGCGCCCGCATCGGGCGGCTGCAGCAGGTGGGGCCAGCCCCGGGGGCCCCTCGCGCGGGGCGTGGGCGGGGGCGGGGCCATTGCCCGGGGTCGGCCGTGGTGGTTCTGGGCTGCCACCCTGGCGCGACTTTGTCACCAGATTTCGGGCGCCTGCGTGAGAAAAGGAGCGGGCCAGGGACGCCGTGCGAAACCCGGCCGCTTTCACCAGGGCGGCGAGAGAAAATCCCCTTCCGTGTTCACCGACGCGTTCACCCGTGCTTCCGTCGCACGCCCAGCCTCGGCGGCGCCTGTCCTCGGAAGGCACCGCGTTCCCGGGGGGGCCTGAGATCCCCGGAATCGGCCGGCGAGGGAAAGACGTTTGGGGGCGAGGGGGGCGAGCGGCCCGTCGGCTCTTTCTCTCCCCTCCGTAGGGGGAAGCGGAGGCCAGCCCGCGAGGGGCGCCCCACGGATGGGCGGCGGGGGGTGGGACGAGGCAGGGCCCGGTGCCCCAATGGGGCGGGGGGCACCGGGCCGCCAGGGAGGCAGCCCTCGCTCCGGGATCAGAAGTGGAGCTCGCTTGATTTCGGCTCCCCTTTACTCTGACCCCTGGGCTCGGCGGCTTTCAGAAATCACGCCCGGGAAGCTGGGGGGGGGATTGGGAAGGGGTCCGGCTAGCGGATCTTTTTGGTTTTGAAATCTCCTGCAGTGCCGAGCTCAGGTCAGGCGCGCGCCCCGGCTCCGGGGCTCTGCCTTTTCCACCCCCAAAGCCAGCTGGCGAGCAAGGGGGGCTGGGCTGAAATTAACCGACCAGAAGAGCGCGGGCTGGATTTGATGAACACGCCGGAGCTGCTGGCGAAGGACCTGGGGGAGGTCGGGGGGAGGTCGGGGGGGTCATTTTCTCTGGAAATGCCGTCCTGTGACACTGTTGGCTTCTTTGGGGAGCTGGCCCCGCGCGGCTTTGCAGGGTTTGTCGGGTGACTTCCTGCTGTGTGGAGTTGGGCAGCACCCGGGTGGGTCCGCTGGGCTGATCGGGGGAGGGGGGCTCTGGGCCGGGCGGGCCCGTTGGCCTGATTGCGGGGGAGGGGGGCTCTGGGCCGGACGGGCCCGTTGGCCTGATTGCGGGGGAAGGGGGTTCTGGGCCGGACGGGCCCGTTGGCCTGATTGTGGGGGAGGGGGGTTCTGGGCTGGCCCGGCCCATTGGACGGATGGGGGGGTACCGGATATCGTTTGTTCTGGTGGGGTTGTGGGTGGGGGTGAGTCTGTCGGGCTCCCTCCCCCCCCCGACCCACGTCTCTCCCGCCCCCCCGCCAGGCTCAGCTGTGGAATTTCCACTCGGGCTCGTCCCATCACCGGAGCAAGGCCCTGCCCCCCCTGCAGCAGGTGTGGAACCTCCTGCACCTCGAGGTGAGCAGCTGGGGGGGTGCCCCTGGGGAGGGGACCTGCGGGGGGGGACCGGCGGGGAGGGGAGCCCCCGGGGTGGGGGTCCTGCGGGGGGGGGGGACTGGTGGGAGAGGGGAGCCCCTGGGGGCGGGGGGACCTGTGGGGGGGGCTGGTGGGAGAGGAACCCCTGGGGGGCCCTGCGGGAGGGGGGTGAGGTGGTGACTGTTGGGGGGAGCTGGGGTTGGTTCAAGGGTGTCATTCTCACCCCATATCTTCTCCCGCCCCCACCCCAGAAGCGGAATTTCTCAGCCAAGCGCAGCCCCCAGCTGAAGCGGCTGGCGCCCCCCATGGAGCCCCCCGTGGTGCAGCCCATCCCCCCCGCCCCCGCCCGGCCCCACCCCGGGCACAGCGAGGAGCTGCCCAGCCCCATGAAGAGGAGGAGGAGCGCCAGCCCCGAGCAGGTAGCTGGGGGGCAGGCCGGGGGGTGGGGGTGGGGGGATCCCCGAGGTGCGGGGGTCTCCGCTGAGCTGCCCAGGGCAGAGCGCGTCCCCGCTCACCCCCCCTTTCCCCCCCCAAGCAGAGCGGGAACGGGGCCGGACAGCACCCCCCGGGGGCCCCCCACTACCAGCTGCCCAAGGCCGGGCTGTGGAACCCCCTCCACGGCGACACGTGGGGGCCCGAGCGCAAGAACGTGGTGGCGCCGGAGAGACAGGTAACGCCCCGCGGCCCCCCCCCGCGGCCTCCCCCCAGCCAGCTCGCCCTCCCGGGCCCCCTAAGCCAGAGGGGGCAGCCTCCGGGGGAGGGGGGCCTCGGACTCACTGCCCTCTTCAACCCTGGGTCTCTGCTGGGGCTGCCCCGGGCCAGCCGGTCCCCCGCCCGCCCCCGCCCTCCCCTAGCGAGCCAGTCCTCTCCCCCCTCCCCGAGCCAGCCAGTCCCCCCCCTCCACCCTCCCCACCCAAGCCAGCCGGTCCTTCCCCCCTCCACCTGGTCCCTTGCCCCCTCCCCGCCCCCAGACAGCCAGTCCCCTCCCCCTCTCCCACCCTCCCCGAGCCAGCCAGTCCTCTCCCCCTCCGCCCTCCCCCCAAAGCCAGCTGGTGCCTCCCCCCACCCCCCCCAGCCACCTGGTCCCCTCCCCCATTCCCGCCCCCCTGAGCCGGCCAGTCCCTGCCCTGGGGCCGGAGGGGAGCCGGCGCCCCCCAGAGGGGGACAGGCCCCGTGCCCCGTCCGGAGCCAGCCCCGTCTCTCTCTAACTGTCTCTCTCCCTCCCACAGGAGCCGAGGAATTCGGTCGCCCACCCCTTCCCGTACCCGTCTCCCGCCTACGGCTCGCACCCGCCCCCCCACCGCCTGCCCCCCGGCCCCCGCCCCTCCGGAGAGAGCCATGGCTGCCAGGCCCGCCCCACTGGAAGTGACCTTAAAGCCAGCCGAGTTCCCCGGGGGCGGCCGGACCCCAGCACCTCACCAGCCAGCGTCACCTGCGTGCCTTACGCCCCGCGGCCCCCCCCGGCCGGCCCCCCCACCAGCAAGACCCCGCGGGGGGAGCCGGGCCCCAGCTTGGTGAGTGGATGCTGTGGGGGGACTGGGCTGGGGCAGAGGGGACTGGTCTGGCCTGGGGTGGGGGGGGATTCTGGCTAGGGTCCCGGTGTCTGGGGGGGCAGGGGGAGCTGCTGCATCTTGGGGGGTCTGGAGGGTGGTCCTGGTGTCTGGGGGGGGGGCTGCTTTGCCCCAGCCCAGGCTGCACCCTGATTGGCTGCCGTCTCTCTGTCCCCCCCCCTGCAGGCTCCTGACCGTTACCAAACCCCGGCACCGGCACCGTCCAGCCCAGCCCCGGAGAGCGTGGAGCGCCTGCCCCCCGGCCCCACCCCCCACCCCTCCTCCAGCCGGCCCTGCGCTCCCCCGCCCCCCTCCTCCGCCAGCCGGGGGCCCCCCGAGCCGGGCCCTCCCCCGCCCCTGCCCTGGCTGAAGGGCCCAGGCGTCCGGGACCAGGGGGAGGGCGCGGCCGGCGGGGACCCCCTGGACGAGATCCTGTTCGGGTGCGGGGGGGAGCCCCAGCTGGGTCCCTGCGACTCGGCCGGGACCCGGGGGGGCTTCCAGGATTCCACCACCAGCAGCCAGGGGAGTAGGGGGGCCGGGGCACCCCGGGGGGAGGGTGAGCCCAGCCCCCCGCCACCTCCCACCCCCTCCCCGCCCCCTCCCACCTACCGCTGCGCCTTTGCCAAGCAGGAGCCCCCCGGCCTCCCCGAGTTCTGGCTGGAGACGCCCCCCCGCGAAGCCCGGCCACCGGAGGGCGGGGAGGGGGTCCCCAAGGCCTCCCCCAGCCCCCCAAATACCTCAGGAAACTTCAGGCCCCAGCCGAGCCCTCCGCCCCCACCGCCCAGGGCCTCCTACCCAAAGACACTGCCTCCAGAGCCAGGCCCCCCCCCGGAAACCCCCACCGGGACGGCCCGGCGCCTCTTCGACTTCCCCGGGCCCCCCCTGGAGGACCAGTTCGAGGAGCCCCCCGAATTCTCCAAGATCCTGCCCGACGGGTTGGCCAACATCATGAAGATGCTGGACGAGTCGATCCGGCGGGAGGAGGAGGAGCGGGAGGCCGGGGCCCCCCCCAGCTTCCCGCCCCCGCCCACCCCGCTCCTGCCCGGCCCGCCCCCCCTGGCCAGACCAAAGCCGCCGCCGGCCCCCCCTTTCGAGTACCCCAAGCCGGAGCCGCCCCGGCTGTACCCCTTCGGCAAGCGGGAGGAGGCCGGGAAGTGCCCACCGCCCAGCACGGCCAGTTTGCTGCGGTCGCTGGCCAGCGTGCTGGAGGGGCAGAAACACGCCTACCGGGCCAAGCCCCCCGCCGGGGCGAAGAAGCCCCCCGCCCCCCCGGCACCGCCGCCGGCTCCTTCCTCGCCGTTTTCTACCTCAAGCCAGGCCTGGGCTGGGGCAGGCCGGGGCGGGGAGCCGGCGGGGGCCTCACCAGAGCCCCGGCCCCCCAAGACGGAGTCGGAGGTGCTGGAAGAGATCAGCCGGGCCTGCGAGACGCTGGTGGAACGGGCGGGGCGGGAGCCCAGCCCGGCCCCCCGGCCGCCCACCCCGCCGGCCACGCCGCCCCGCCGGCCGGAGAAGGAGCACCGCCGGCACCGGCGGGCGGGCAAGGATGGGCGGCGCCACCGGCGGGAGGGCAAAGCCCCCAAGGAGAAGAACCGGCAGGTGCTGGGCAACCTGGACCCCCAGCGCACCGACTGCCAGGCGCGGGAGAACGGCGCCCAGGGCGAGGCCGGCAAAGCCGGGAAGCCGCCCCCGCCGGCCGCCCCCCAGCCCGAGCGCCGCCCGCCCGCCCGGAGGGAGGAGGGCCCCGGCCCCGCCGGCGTGTGCCCGGCCGACCTGCTCAAGCTGCGCTCCTTCACCGAGGGGCCCCCCAAGGAGCTCAAGATCCGGCTCATCAAGGTGGAGAGCGGGGACAAGGAGACCTTCATCGCCTCCGAGGTGGAGGAGCGGCGCCTCCCGCTGGCCGAGGTCACCATCAGCCACAGCGCCGCCGAGGTGGTGCGGGCCAGCAAGTGAGTGCCCCCCACCCCTGCCACAGCTCCGCCAGCCCCCCCGGCTCCCCCCGCCCGTGCGGCCCCCCATCGCCCCACCAGCGCCCCCGTATCCGCCCCTGGCTCCCCCCTGCCTCTGCGGCCCCCCCCATCCTCCCGACAGCACCCCCGTATCCGCCCCCCGGCTCCCCCCGCCCGTGCGGCCCTCCCCGTCGCCCCGCCAGCACCCCCATATCCACCCACGGGCCCCCCGGCTCCCCCCCGCCCGTGCAGCCCCCTCCATCACCCCGCCAGCGCCCCCATATCCGCTCACCAGCCCCCCCGTCTCCCCCCCGCCCATGCAGCCCCCCATCCCCCCACCAGCGCCCCCATATCCGCCCACCGGCCCCCCGCCTGTGCGGCCCCCCAGTATTCCCTGCTGGCATCCCTGATCTTCCTGCCTGGTCACCCCAAATTCCCCTCTGCCAGAGCACCCAATTCCCCCCCACCCACACCTCCTGGGACAGAGTGGGGTTCAGTGATGGGCAAGGGAGACTCCTAGTGGCCAGTGGGGCTCACTACACCCCCTTCACTGCGGTGATCCTCAGACCCCGGCCCAGGGCTCCCACTGCCCCATAACCCCACACTCCAGCCCCTGGGACACTCTCTGCCCCATAGCCCACCCACCCCAGCTCCTGGGATGCCCCCTGCCCCATAACCCCCACCCCCCCCCGCCCCAGCCCCTGGGATGCTCTCTGCCCCATAGCCCACCCACTCCAGGCCCAGGGATGCCCCCTGCCCCATAACTCCCCCACCCCAGCCCCTGGGACACTCTCTGCCCCATAGGCCTGCACCCCAGCCCCTGGGATGCCTTCTGTCCCATAGCTCTCCCGCCCCAGCCCCTGGGACGCCCCCGGTCCCATAAACCCCCAGCCCCAGGACGTGCCCCACCCCCAATGGGCTCCGTTGTCCCCCCAGGCACGCCAAGGTGAAGGGGAAGTTCAAGGAGTCGTATCTGTCGGCCGCCCAGTCCGTCAAACCCCTCATCAACGCCGAGGAGAAGCTGCCGCGGGACAAAGTCAACCCCCCCACGCCCAGCATCTACGTGAGTGACGCCTCCGGGGGTGCGCCCAGGCTGGGCAGCCCAGGGATCTGATTCGGGGGGTGGGGTACCGGCTTGGGGGTCTGGGCTGGGGACGGAGGGGATACCGGAGAGGCCTGGGGGCTGGGGATACCGGAGGGGGCTGGGAGAAGACGGTGGTACAGCGGGGGGCAGGCACACTGGAGAGGCCCAGGCGTCAGGGACGGGGATACCGGAGGGGTCCGGGCGGCTGGGAATACCAGAGGGGGCTGGGAGCAGACGGGGATACCGAAGGGGTCCGGGGGTCAGGGCCAGGGGGGATGGGGTTACTGGGAGGGATGGGGATACCAGAGGGACCCGGAGAGAGGGGCGGGGGAGGATACCGGAGGAACCTGGGGGGAGTGGGGGGGATACCAGACGTTTGCTGTTCTCATTCTCTCTCCCCCCGGCAGCTGGAGAGCAAACGCGACGCCTTTTCGCCCGTCCTGCTGCAGTTCTGCACCGACCCCAAGAACCCCATCACGGTCATCCGGGGGCTGGCCGGCTCCCTGCGCCTCAGTGAGTGCCTGGCCGGGGGGTGCAGGGGGAGCTATGGGGAGGGGAGTGCAGGGAGGCCGGGGCCCGGCCCGTGACTCTCTCCTGCGGCCGATGTGGATGGGGGGCTCTGGGGGGCTGGGGGCCCGGCCCGTGACTCTCCCGCGGCCGATGCAGGCGGGGGGCTCTGGGGGGCTGGGGGCCCGGCCCGTGACTCTCCCGCGGCCGATGCAGGCGGGGGGCTCTGGGGAGCCAGGGCCCGGCCTGTGACTCTCTCCTGCGGCCGATGCGGGCGGGGGGTTCTGGGGAGCCGGGGCCCCGCGACCGATGTGGATGGGGACTCTGGGGGGCTGGGGGCCCGGCCCGTGACTCTCCCGCGGCCGATGCAGGCGGGGGGCTCTGTGGAGCCAGGGCCCGGCCCGTGACTCTCTCCTGCGGCCGATGCGGGCGGGGGGTTTTGGGGAGCCGGGGCCCGGCCCGTGACTCTCTCCCGCGGCCGTGTCCCCCCCCCCAGACCTGGGCCTGTTTAGCACGAAGACGCTGGTGGAGGCCAGCGGGGAGCACGCCGTGGAGGTCCGCACCCAGGTGCAGCAGCCGTCGGACGAGAACTGGGACCTGTCGGGCACCCGCCAGGTGTGGCCGTGCGAAAGCAGCCGCTCGCACACCACCATCGCCAAGTACGCCCAGTACCAGGCCTCCTCTTTCCAGGAGTCGCTGCAGGTCAGTGCGGGGTATGGGGGGCCCGGACCCCGAGCGGGGACGCGTTGGGGGGGGGCGTATCCCTCCAGGGGTGCTCGGCACGTCCAGGGGGGGGCCGTATCCCTCCAGGGATGCATCTGCGGGGGCCGTATCCCTCCAGGGACGCATCTGGGGGGCCGTAGCCCTCCGGGGGCACTCGGCAGGTCTGGGTGAAGCCCCATCTCCAGGGGGGTGCCCATGGCAGAGCCCCTGTTTGTGCTGATGGGGGTCTGCATGGGGAGGGGCCTGGTTTGTGCTGACTGTGGTCTGCGTGGGGAGGGGGGGTCCGGTTTGTGCAGATGGGGGCTGCAGGGGGGTCCGGTTTGTGCTGAAGCGGGGTTGCGGGGGGAGGGGGGGTCCGGTCTGTGCAGACAGGGGGCTGCGGGGGGGTCCGGTTTGTGCCAGCGGGGGGCTGCAGGGGAGGGGGCCCCAGTTTGTGCTGACAGGGGCTGCGTGGGGGGGGTTCAGTTTGTGCCAACGGGGGGGCTGCGTGGGGGAACCCCGGTTTGACGCACTCTCTCTGGGGCAGGAGGAGAAAGAAAGCGACGAGGAGGATGCGGACGAACCAGACAGCACCACGGAGACGCCCCCCCAGGTACGATGGAAGCATGCGGGGGGGGAGGGAATTGGGGTGCCCCCCTGCACACCCTTCCCTGCCTGCTCCTTTATCATCTGGCCGGGAGGTGGGCCAGTGTTGGGGGGACTGCGGGGGACTGCAACCCCAATATTGCGGGGGTTATGACCCCAGTATTGTCAGGGTGGGGGTGCTGTGACCCCCAATCATAGAATCATAGAATATCAGGGTTGGAAGGGACCCCTGAAGGTCATCTAGTCCAACCCCCTGCTCGAAGGAGAACCAATTCCCAGTTAAATCATCCCAGCCAGGGCTTTGTCAAGCCTGACCTTAAAAACCTCTAAGGAAGGAGATTCTACCACCTCCCTAGGTAACGCATTCCAGTGTTTCACCACCCTCTTAGTGAAAAAGTTTTTCCTAATATCCAATCTAAACCTCCCCCACTGCAGCTTGAGACCATTACTCCTCGTTCTGTCATCTGCTACCATTGAGAACAGTCTAGAGCCATCCTCTGTGGAACCCCCTTTCAGGTAGTTGAAAGCAGCTATCAAATCCCCCCTCATTCTTCTCTTCTGCAGGCTAAACAATCCCAGCTCCCTCAGCCTCTCCTCATAACTCATGTGTTCCAGACCCCTAATCATTTTTGTTGCCCTTCGCTGGACTCTCTCCAATTTATCCACATCCTTCTTGTAGTGTGGGGCCCAAAACTGGACACAGTACTCCAGATGAGGCCTCACCAATGTCGAATAGAGGGGAACGATCACGTCCCTCGATCTGCTCGCTATGCCCCTACTTATACATCCCAAAATGCCATTGGCCTTCTTGGCAACAAGGGCACACTGCTGACTCATATCCAGCTTCTCATCCACTGTCACCCCTAGGTCCTTTTCCGCAGAACTGCTGCCGAGCCATTCAGTCCCTAGTCTGTAGCGGTGCATTGGATTCTTCCATCCTAAGTGCAGGACCCAGCACTTATCCTTATTGAACCTCATCAGATTTCTTTTGGCCCAATCCTCCAATTTGTCTAGGTCCTTCTGTATCCTATCCCTCCCCTCCAGCGTATCTACCACTCCTCCCAGTTTAGTATCATCCGCAAATTTGCTGAGAGTGCAATCCACACCATCCTCCAGATCATTTATGAAGATATTGAACAAAACCGGCCCCAGAACCGACCCTTGGGGCACTCCACCTGACACCGGCTGCCAACTAGACATGGAGCCATTGATCACTACCCGTTGAGCCCGACAATCTAGCCAGCTTTCTACCCACCTTATAGTGCATTCATCCAGCCCATACTTCCTTAACTTGCTGACAAGAATACTGTGGGAGACCGTGTCAAAAGCTTTGCTAAAGTCAAGAAACAATACATCCACTGCTTTCCCTTCATCCACAGAACCAGTAATCTCATCATAAAAGGTGATTAGATTAGTCAGGCATGACCTTCCCTTGGTGAATCCATGCTGGCTGTTCCTGATCACTTTCCTCTCATGCAAGTGCTTCAGGATTGATTCTTTGAGGACCTGCTCCATGATTTTTCCAGGGACTGAGGTGAGGCTGACTGGCCTGTAGTTCCCAGGATCCTCCTTCTTCCCTTTTTTAAAGATTGGCACTACATTAGCCTTTTTCCAGTCATCCGGGACTTCCCCGGTTCGCCACGAGTTTTCAAAGATAATGGCCAATGGCTCTGCAATCACAGCCGCCAGTTCCTTCAGCACTCTCGGATGCAACTCGTCCGGCCCCATGGACTTGTGCACGTCCAGCTTTTCTAAATAGTCCCTAACCACCTCTATCTCCACAGAGGGCTGCCATCTCTTCCCCATTTTGTGATGCCCAGCGCAGCAGTCTGGGAGCTGACCTTGTTAGTGAAAACAGAGGCAAAAAAAGCATTGAGTACATTAGCTTTTTCCACATCCTCTGTCACTAGGTTGCCTCCCTCATTCGGTAAGGGGCCCACACTTTCCTTGGCTTTCTTCTTGTTGCCAACATACCTGAAGAAACCCTTCTTGTTACTCTTGACATCCTCTCTAGCTGCAGCTCCAGGTGCGATTTGGCCCTCCTGATATCATTCCTACATGCCTGAGCAATATTTTTATACTCTTCCCTGGTCATATGTCCAACCTTCCACTTCTTGTAAGCCTCTTTTTTATGTTTAAGATCCGCTAGGATTTCACCATTAAGCCAAGCTGGTCGCCTGCCATTTTTACTATTCTTTCGACTCATTGGGATGGTTTGTCCCTGCAACCTCAACAGGGATTCCTTGAAATACAGCCAGCTCTCCTGGACTCCTTTCCCCTTCAAGTTAGTCCCCCAGGGGATCCTGGCCATCCGTTCCCTGAGGGAGTTGAAGTCTGCTTTCCTGAAGTCCAGGGTCCGTATCCTGCTGCTTACCTTTCTTCCCTGCGTCAGGATCCTGAACTCAACCAACTCATGGTCACTGCCTCCCAGATTCCCATCCACTTTTGCTTCCCCCACTAATTCTACCCGGTTTGTGAGCAGCAGGTCAAGAAAAGCGCCCCCCCAGTTGGCTCCTCTAGCACTTGCGCCAGGAAATTGTCCCCTACGCTTTCCAAAAACTTCCTGGATTGTCTATGCACCGCTGTATTGCTCTCCCAGCAGATATCAGGAAAATTAAAGTCACCCATAAGAATCAGGGCATGAGATCTAGTAGCTTCCGTGAGCTGCCGGAAGAAAGCCTCATCTACCTCATCCCCCTGGTCCGGTGGTCTATAGCAGACTCCCACCACTACATCACTCTTGTTGCACACACTTCTAAACTTAATCCAGAGACACTCAGGTTTTTCTACAGTTTCGTACCGGAGCTCTGAGCAGTCATACTGCTCCCTTATATACAGTGCTACTTCCCCACCTTTTCTGCCCTGCCTGTCCTTCCTGAACAGTTTATAACCATCCATGACAGTACTCCAATATTTAAGGGGGGCTGCGGTCCTGTGCTTGGGGGAGGCTGTGGGGAGATGTGACCCAACATTTGCCAGGCGTTTGAGGGGATTGCAGCTGTGGGGGCCTCACCCCCAGTTTTGGGGCGCTCCAGGGAAGCTGGGGGCGGCGGGGACACGATCCATTATTTGGGGCCAGTTGTGACCTCATTCTGTGTGGGGATCGCTCCACGCTCGTTGTGGGAGGGACACGGGGCTTCGGGGGGCAATCCCTGAGCAGAGGAAGAGAGGTAGGGGAGAGCTGGGGGACCCCGCACTCTCATAAACCCTCTCTCTCCCCAGCAGCAACGCAGACCAGAAATCTCACCAGATCATCAAATTCGGGACCAACATCGACCTGTCCGACGCCAAGCGGTGAGGGGGCGGGGTGGGGGGCATGGGGCAAACCGGGCGGGGAGGGAGGGGGAAGATCTGACCCCCCCACACGCCTGTCCGGCTCCTTTGGGGACACGGGGTGGGTGGGTTTGCAGCACCCCCCTCTGACGGGTGGCCCCTAAGGAAGAGAGGAGGACTAGGCCAGGTAGGGGGGGAACCATGGGGAGAGGGAACTCAGTGCGGGGGATGAGGACGCTGTCTGACACTCCCCCCCCCGACTCGCCGCCAGGTGGAAGCCACAGCTGCAGGAGCTGCTGAAGCTACCAGCCTTCATGCGGGTCACCTCGACGGGCAACATGCTGAGCCATGTGGGTCATACCATCCTGGGCATGAACACGGTGCAGCTGTACATGAAAGTGCCAGGCAGCCGGACGCCGGGTGAGCAGGGGGCAGGGGGCGGAGGCCGGGCCGTGTCGGAGTGTCCTGGAGGTGGGGGTGGGGTCCGTCACCGCTCCATCCCCTTAACTCCCCCCTCCATCCTCTTAACTCTCCCCTTCCGTCCCCTTAATCATAGAATCATAGAATATCAGGGTTGGAAGGGACCCCAGAAGGTCATCTAGTCCAACCCCCTGCTCGAAGCAGGACCAATTCCCAGTTAAATCATCCCAGCCAGGGCTTTGTCAAGCCTGACCTTAAAAACCTCTAAGGAAGGAGATTCTACCACCTCCCTAGGTAACGCATTCCAGTGTTTCACCACCCTCCTAGTGAAAAAGTTTTTCCTAATATCCAACCTAGACCTCCCCCACTGCAACTTGAGACCATTACTCCTTGTCCTGTCCTCTTCTACCACTGAGAATAGTCTAGAACCATCCTATCTGGAACCACCTCTCAGGTAGTTGAAAGCAGCTATCAAATCCCCCCTCATTCTTCTCTTCTGCAGGCTAAACAATCCCAGCTCCCTCAGCCTCTCCTCATAAGTCATGTGTTCCAGACCCCTAATCATTTTTGTTGCCCTTCGCTGGACTTTTTCCAATTTTTCCACATCCTTCTTGTAGTGTGGGGCCCAAAACTGGACACAGTACTCCAGATGAGGCCTCACCAATGTCAAATAGAGGGGGATGATCACGTCCCTCGATCTGCTCGCTGTGCCCCTACTTATACATCCCAAAATGCCATTGGCCTTCTTGGCAACAAGGGCACACTGCTGACTCATATCCAGCTTCTCGTCCACTGTCACCCCTAGGTCCTTTTCCGCAGAACTGCTGCCGAGCCATTCGGTCCCTAGTCTGTAGCGGTGCATTGGGTTCTTCCGTCCTAAGTGCAGGACCCTGCACTTATCCTTATTGAACCTCATCAGATTTCTTTTGGCCCAATCGTTCAATTTGTCTAGGTCCCTCTGTATCCTATCCCTGCCCTGCAGCGTATCTACCACTCCTCCCAGTTTAGTATCATCCGCAAATTTGCTGAGAGTGCAATCCACACCATCCTCCAGATCATTTATGAAGATACTGAACAAAACCGTCCCCAGGACCGACCCCTGGGGCACTCCACTTGACACCGGCTGCCAACTAGACATGGAGCCATTGATCACTACCCGTTGAGCCCGACAGTCTAGCCAACTTTCTACCCACCTTATAGTGCATTCATCCAGCCCGTACTTCTTTAAATTGCTGACAAGTTAATGCCCCCCTCCATCCCCTTAACTCTCCCCTTCTGTCCTCTTAACTTTCCCCCTCCATCTCCTTAACACCCCCCTCCATCCCCTTAACTCTCCCCTTCCATCTCCTTAAGGCCCCTCTCCGTCTCCTTAACTCTCCCCATCCGCCCCCTCTTGCCTCACATTGCGCGTTGCTCCCCCCCGTAGGCCACCAGGAGAACAACAACTTCTGCTCCGTGAACATCAACATCGGGCCAGGCGACTGCGAGTGGTTCGCGGTGCACGAGCATTACTGGGAGACCATCAGCGCCTTCTGTGACAGGTCGGGGTGGGGCCAGGGCCTTGAGGGCAGGGTCCGAGCCACAGGGGCGGGGCCATGGCCATGGGGGCGGGGCCTTACTGGGAGACCAACAGCACCTTCTGCGCTGGGTGCTGGGGCTATGGGGGCAGGGCTACAGCTGTGGGGGCGGAGCCGTGGGGCTGTATAGGTGACCCCTCCCCTTCTGAGTCTCACCTCCCCCCCTTACCCCCCCCGGCAGGCACGGCGTGGACTACCTGACGGGCTCCTGGTGGCCCATCCTGGAGGACCTGTACAAGTCGAATATCCCCGTTTACCGATTCATCCAGCGCCCCGGGGACCTGGTGTGGATCAATGCAGGCACCGTGCACTGGGTGCAGGCCACAGGCTGGTGCAACAACATCGCCTGGAATGTCGGGCCCCTCACAGGTGCGGGCAGAGGGGCCGGGGGCCTCGGAGGGCGGGACATCAGTGGCTAGGGGGCTGGGCAGCCCAGGAGGAGGGTAGCAGAGGGGGCTGGGGTTCACACTGAGGGACAGTGGGGCAGGGAATCTGGAGCTTGGGCAGGAACCCCTGTCAAGAGCTCCCTGCCTCAAACCATCTGACAGGTGCAGAGACGTCCCTTAGGGGAGGATCTAGGACGAGAGGATGGGAAACGATCAAATACAGGCTGGGTCTGATCGGAAACAGTCAAAGAAAAAAGCATCCGTTCCATTCCATCGTGTAACGGCAGACAGCTGAAAGGAGACACGTTTTTAAAGCCAATGCTAGGAGGCTAAATAACAAGATGGGTGAAGGAGAGTGCCTCGTGTTCAATGAGGAGGTTGATCTCACAGAAGCCTGGTGGAATGAGGATAATCAATGGGACACAGTAATACCAGGGAACCAAATCTATCGGAAGGACAGAACAGGTCGTGCGGGTGGCGGAATGGCAATAGAGGTGAAAGAAAGCGTAGAATCCAATGAAGTAAAAATCTTAAGTGGACCAAACTGTACCATAGAATCGCTCTGGATAGTAATTCCGTGCTCGAGTAATGAGAATATAGCGGTAGGGACATGTCACCGACCACCTGGCCAGGATGGTGTGAGTGATTGAAATGCTCAGAGAGATTAGAGAGGCTATTAAAATAAAAAACTCAATAATAATAATGGGGGATTTCAGTTATCTCCGTATTGACAGGGTACCTGTCACCTCAGGACGGGATGCAGAGATAAAGTTTCTTGACACCTTAAATGACTGCTTCTTGGAGCAGCTGGTCCTGGAACCCACCAGAGGAGAGACAATTCTTGATTTAGTCCTAAGTGGAGCACAGGATCTGGTGCAAGAGGTGAATATAGCTGGACCGCTTGGTAATAGTGACCATAATATAATTAAATTTAATATCCCTGTGGCAGGAAAAACACCGTAGAGGCCCAACACTGTAGCATTTAATTTCAGAAAGGGGGACGACACAAAACGAGGAGGTTAGTGAAACAGAAATTAAAGGGTACGGTGCCAAAAGTGAAATCCCTGCAAGCTGCATGGACACTTTTTAAAGACCCCATCATAGAGGCTCAACTTCAACATACACCCCAAATTTAAAAAATATAGTAAAAGAACCAAAAAAGAGCCACCGTGGCTAAACAACCACATAAAGAAGCAGTGAGAGGAAAAAAGGCATCCTTTAAAAAGTGGAAGTGAAATCCTAGTGAGGAAAACAGAAAGGAGCATAAACTCTGGCAAGTGAAGTGTACAAATATAATTAGGAAGGCCAAAAAAGAATTTGAAGAACAGCTAGACAAAGCCTCAAAAAGTAATAGTAAAAATTTTTTGAAGTACATCAGAAGCAGGAAGCCTGCTAAACAACCCGTGGGGCCACTGAACGATCGAGGTGCTAAAGGAGCACTCCAGGACGATAAGGCCATTGCGGAGAAACTAAATGAATTCTTTGGATCTGTCTTCACAACTGAGGATGTGAGAGAGAGTCCCAACCCTGAGCCATTCTTTTTAGGTGACAGATCTGAGGAACTGTCCCAGATTGAGGTGTCATTAGAGGAGGTTTTGGAACAAATTGATAAATTAAACAGTAAACAAGTCACCAGGACCAGATGGTTTTCAGCCAAGAGTTCTGAAGGACTCAAATGTGAAATTGCAGAAAAACTAATTGTAGTCTATGACCTGTCATTTAAATCAGCTTCTGGACCAAATGACTGGAGGGTAGCTAATGTGACCCCAATTTTTAAAAAGGGCTCCAGAGGTGATCCCGGCAATTACAGGCTGGTAAGCCTGACATCAGTACCGGGCCAACTGGTTGAAACTCTAGTAAAAGAATAAAATTGTCAGACACAGATGAACATAATTTGTTGAGGAAGAGTCAACATGGTTTTAGTAAAGGGAAATCACGCCTCACCAATCTGCTAGAATTCTTTGAGGGGATCAACAAGCATGTGGACCAAGGGGATCCAGTGGATATAGTGTGCTTAGATTATCAGAAAACCTTTGACAAGGTTCCTCACCAAAGGCCCTTACGCAAAGTAAGCTGTCGTGGGATCAGAGGGAAGGTCCTCTCATGGATCGGTAACTGATAAAAAGATACAAAACAAAGGGTAATATAAATGGTCGGTTTTCAGAGCGGAGAGAGGTAAGTAGTGTGTCCCCCAGGGGTCTGTTCTGGGACTGGTCCTATTCAACATATTCATAAATGATCTGGGAAAAGGTGGCCACAGTGAGGTGACAATATTTGCAGATGCTACAAAATTACTCAAGATAGTTAAGTCCCAGGCAGACTGCGAAGAGCTACAAAGGGATCTCTCAAAACTGGGTGACTGGGCAACAAAATGGCAGATGAAGTTTAATGTTGATAAATGCAAAGTAATGCACATGGGAAAACATAATCCCAGCTATACAGATAAAATGACGGGGTCTAAATTGGCTATTCCCACTCAAGAAAGAGATCTTGGAGTCACGGTGGATAGTTCTCTGAAAACATCCACTCAATGTGCAGCGGCAGTCAAAGAAACCAACCGAACGTTGGGAATCATTAGGAAAGGGATAGATAATAAGACAGAAAATATCCTGTTGCCTCTATATAAATCCATGGGATGCCCACACTTTGAACACTGCGTGCAGATGTGGTCGCCCCACCTCAAGAAAGATCTATTGGAACTGGAAAAGATTCAGAAAAGGGCAACAAAAATGATTCGGGGTATGGAACGGCTTCTGTATAAGGAGAGTTTAATAAGACTGGGACATTTCAGTTTGGAAAAGAGACAGCTAAGGGGAGATATGATTGAGGTCTATAAAATCATGACTGGTGTGGAGAAAGTGAATAACAAAGTGTTGTTTACTCCTTCTCATAACACAAGAACTAGGGGTCCCCCAATGAAATTAACAGGCAGCAGGTTTAAAACACACAAAAGGAAGTATTTCTTCACACAATGCAAAGTTGATCTGGGGAACTCCTCGCCAGAGGATGTTGTGAAGGTCAAGACTAGAACAGGGCTCAAAAAAGAACTAGATACATTCATGGAGGACAGGTCCATCAATGGCTATTAGCCAGGATGGGCAGGGATAGTGTCCCTAGCGTCTGCTTGCCAGAAGCTGGGAATGGGCAACAGGGGATGGATCACCTGGTAGTGGCCGCGGTTGGCAGACAGGACACTGGGCTAGATGGACCTTTGGTCTGACCTAGTCTGGCCGAACTTATGTCTTATGTTCATCTCTCTTGGATTTGGCTCCACCAAGTGGCAGAAATGTGTACTGCAGCCTCGGGAGGGCACTGGTGGGTTATGGGGGGCAGGGAATGGGGCACGGGGCCTGTCCCCTCTAGGGCTGCGGCTGTGTCTGGGGTGGGGTTTTGCTGGCTGCTGCCTCACCCTCTCCCCCTCCTGCAGCCTATCAATACCAGCTGGCCCTGGAGCGCTACGAGTGGAACGAGGTGAAGAACGTGAAGTCCATCGTGCCCATGATCCACGTCTCGTGGAACGTCGCCCGGACGGTCAAGATCAGCGACCCCGACCTCTACAAGATGATCAAGTGAGCGGCGCCCCTGTGACTCCTCCCCACCCCAGCCCTACCTCCTGCCCTGTGAGCCTGGCTGGTGGGCTTGGCGGGGTCCCCCTAGCAATGGGAGTGGGAGTTACCACCCCATTGAGATGCATGGCGCAGCTCCCCCCCTTCCCCGAGCAATGGGCTCAGGCTCTCGGCAGACTCGGGCAGCGTCGGTGACACTTAGGGCAGCTCCCCCACTCTGAGCGCTTGCCCACGTCTCGCTCCCTCTCCGTCCCATTCACTCGCTCCCCGTCTTCTCTCCCTGCCAGGTATTGCCTCATGCAGTCCATCAAGCACTGCCAGGTGCTGCGGGAGACCTTGGTGCGTTCGGGGAAGAAGATCGCCTACCAGGGCCGGGTGAAGGACGAGCCGGCCTACTATTGCAACGAGTGTGACGTGAGTGCCGGGACTGCGAGTGGGGGTCCCGCTGCAGCCGCTAGGTACCAGCCAGCTACTCTAGCTCCCGCAGGGCACTAGAGGTCGCTGTGTTGCCAGATTTCCCGTCCTTTGGCTGAGACAGCCACACCCCTCAGCCTCGAGGGCTGGTGACCCGGCCCAACCCGCACCTGCTTCCAAATCTTCAACCTGCCGCTTCAGTCGGAGGTGGGATCCGCCGTCCCTGAGCAGTTGGGCAGAGTTGCCCTCTGGCTGCGCCTCCCCTCGGAGGTGGCTGCAGCCGAGACCCAACCGAACCACCCTTCTTTGCTTCACAGTCTCCCCGCTTGGATTCCGTTGTGACAGGGTGTATGGTTAATAAAACCCATGGTTAAGGAAAGACACCTCTGTGGGCAGCAGGGAATACCGCGTCCCAGTTCGAACCCTGTGCATGAGATTTGCTTTACTCTGTAAAATGCCTCCTGTCCCACATCCAGTTTGGGATTCCTTTGCGGCATCAGCCTCGTCCGCACTAAGAGACGGGTCCATAATGGGCTAAAAGCCAGAAACAGTGAGTATGAAACGCGGTTTGTTTAAAAGAGAGAGAAAAGGGCAGCTCGCGATTATTGGAAAGGTGGCCGGAAACTTTGAAAAAGGAAGAGACGGATCGTAAGCGTGGGAGAAGATGGAGGAACGGCTCAGACGGATGTGGAGAAAACGGAGCAACGACAAAACACGGCGCAGACCGACGAACGACTCAACGAAATGCAGAGGATGAACATGAAGAGAGGGACTCGGAGAAATGGGGCAAAACCGGATTAGCTACTCGGCTAAAATCGGTGGAAACAGATTAGTGAGCAGGACCTGGAATACTGTGTGTAGTTCTGGTCTCCCATGTTTAAGAAGGATGAATTCAAACTGGAACAGGTACAGAAAAGGGCTACGAGGATGATCCGAGAAATGGAAAACCTGTCTTATGAAAGGAGACTCAAGGAGCTTGGCTTGTTTAGCCTAACTAAAAGAGGGATGAGAGGAGATATGATTGCTCTCTATAAATATATCAGAGGGATAAATACTGGAGAGGGAGAGGAATTATTTAAGCTCAGTACCAATGTGGACACAAGAACAAATGGATATATACTGGCTATCGGGAAGTTTAGACTTGAAATTAGATGAAGGTTTCTAGTGAAGTTCTGGAACAGCCTTTCAAGGGGAGCAGTGGGGGCAAAAGACCTATCTGGCTTCAAGATTAGACTCGATAAGTTTATGGAGGAGATGGTATGATGGGATAACATGATTTTGGCAATTAATTGATCTTTACATATTCATGGTAAATAGGCCCAATGGCCTGTGATGGGATGTTAGATGGGGTGGGATCTGAGTTACTACAGAGAATTCTTTCCTGGGTGTCTGGCTGGTGAATCTTGCCCACATGCTCAGGGTTCAGCTGATCGCCATATTTGGGGTTGGGAAGGAATTTTCCTCCAGGGCAGATTGGAAGAGGCCCTGGAGGTTTTTCGCCTTCCTCTGTAGCATGGAGCACGGGTCACTTGCTGGAGGATTCTCTGCTCCTTGAAGTCTTTAAACCATGGTTTGAGGACTTCAGTAGCTCAGACATAGGTGAGGGGTTTATCGCAGGAGTGGGTGGGTGAGATTCTGTGGCCTGCATTGTGCAGGAGGTCAGACTAGACGATCATAACGATCCCTTCTGACCTTAATATCTATGAATCTATGAATCTGTGTAAATGGGAAGAAAATGAATTACTGACTCATCGTAAGGAGGAGAAAATGGAGCAGAGATTTGGCTGGATATGGTGTGAAAGAATTAGCCATCACTCTAAATATGGATAAACAACTCAGCCAAACGGCACAAACGGGATGCAGAGGGATCTGCGCCTCATCGGAATGGAGGGCAGAGTGGTTAGCGACTTGATTAACGTAGGTGGATTAGCAACACGGCTAAATGGGCTGAAAATGGATTCGTCCTTCAGCTAAACAGGACCAAACAGGATGATTTAACTGGGAATTGGTCCTGCTTTGAGCAGGGGGTTGGACTAGATGACCTTCTGGGGTCCCTTCCAACCCTGATATTCTATGATTCTATGACCAGCATGGATTGGCCAAGTGCCTACACCCGGCGAATCTGTTCAGCGTGGCGTAAAGTGACGGTGACTCGGCTACCGGGCGCAGGCAGCTTAGCGACAGATTGGTGACCCGGCTGAACGAGGTTTAAATGGAGACTCGGTGAAATGCTATGCAGACCGATTAGCGACCCGGTCAGACATGGCATAAACGGTTTAGCAACTTGGCGAAATGGGCTGCCGGTGGATTAGCCACTCAGGGCAAAGCCTCGCAGGTGGATTCGCGACTTGGCTAAACATGGCAGAAATAGATGCACAGACAATCCAAGAAGTTTTTGGAAAGGGTAGGGGACAATTTCCTGGTGCAAGTGCTGGAGGAACCAACTAGGGGCAGAGCTTTTCTTGACCTGCTGCTCACAAACTGGGAAGAATTAGTAGGGGAAGCAAAAGTGGATGGGAACCTGGGAGGCAGTGACCATGAGATGGTTGAGTTCAGGATCCTGACACAGGGAAGAAAGGAGAGCAGCAGAATACAGACCCTGGACTTCAGAAAAGCAGACTTTGACTCCCTCAGGGAACTGATGGGCAGGATCCCCTGGGAGAATAACATGAGGGGGAAAGGAGTCCAGGAGAGCTGGCTGTATTTTAAAGAATCCTTATTGAGGTTACAGGAACAAACCATCCCAATGTGTAAAAAGAATAGTAAATATGGCAGGCGACCAGCTTGGGTTAACAGTGAAATCCTTGCTGATCTTGAACACAAAAAAGAAGCTTACAAGAAGGGGAAGATTGGACAAATGACCAGGGAAGAGTATAAAAATATTGCTCGGGCCTGCAGGAATGAAATCAGGAAGGCCAAATCACACCTGGAGTTGCAGCTAGCAAGAGATGTTAAGAGTAACCAGAAGGGTTTCTACAGGTATGTTAGCAACAAGAAGAAAGTCAAGGAAAGTGTGGGCCCCTTACTGAATGAGGGAGGCAAGCTAACGACAGAGGATGTGGAAAAAGCTAATGTACTCAATGCTTTTTTTGCCTCTGTCTTCACGAACAAGCTCAGCTCCCAGACTGCTGCACTGGGCAGCACAGCATGGGGAGGAGGTGACCAGCCCTCTGTGGAGAAGGAAGTGGTTCGGGACTATTTAGAAAAGCTGGATGAGCACAAGTCCATGCAGCCGGATGCGCTGCATCCGAGAGTGCTAAAGGAGTTGGGGATGTGATTGCAGAGCCATTGGCCATTATCTTTGAAAACTCACGGCAATCGGGGGAAGTCCCGGACGACTGGAGAAAGGCTAATGTAGTGCCCATCTTTAAAAAAGGGAAGAAGGAGGATCCTGGGAACTACAGGCCAGTCAGCCTCACCTCAGTCCCCGGAAAAATCATGGAGCAGGTCCTCAAGGAATCAATTCTGAAGCACTTAGAGGAGAGGAAAGTGATCAGGAACAGTCAGCATGGATTCACCAAGGGCAAGTCATGCCTGACGAATCTAATCGCCTTCTATGATGAGATAACTGGCTCTGTGGATGAGGGGAAAGCGGTGGACGTGTTGTTCCTTGACTTTAGCAAAGCTTTTGACACGGTCTCCCACAGTATTCTTGTCAGCAAGTTAAAGAAGTATGGGCTGGATGAATGCACTACAAGGTGGGTAGAAAGTTGGCTAGATTGTCGGGCTCAATGGGTAGTGATCAATGGCTCCATGTCTAGTTGGCAGCCGGTGTCAAGTGGAGTGCCCCAAGGGACGGTCCTGGGGCCGGTTTCGTTCAATATCTTCATAAATGGTCTGGAGGATGATGTGGATTGCACCCTCAGCAAGTTTGCAGATGACTCTAAACTGGGAGGAGAGGTAGATACGCTGGAGGGCAGGGATAGGATACAGAGGGCCCTAGACAAATTAGAGGATTGGGCCAAAAGAAATCTGATGAGGTTCAACAAGGACAAGTGCAGAGTCCTGCACTTAGGATGGAAGAATCCCATGCACCGCTACAGACTAGGGACCGAATGGCTCGGCAGCAGTTCTGCAGAGAAGGACCTAGGGGTGACAGTGGACGAGAAGCTGGAGATGAGTTAACAGTGTGCCCTTGTTGCCAAGAAGGCCAATGGCGTTTTGGGATGTATACGTAGGGGCACTGCCAGCAGATCGAGGGACGTGATCGTTCCCCTCTGTTCGACATTGGTGAGGCCTCATCTGGAGTACTGTGTCCAGTTTTGGGCCCCACACTACAGGAAGGATGTGGATAAATTGGAGAGAGTCCAGCGACGGGCAACAAAAATGATTAGGGGTCTAGAACACATGACT